TTTTTTTTTTTTTTTTTATTTATGTATATATATAGGCACGTGTATTTTATAATAATAAATTAGAGACAGCAAGAAATGTATTAATAAGGAGACACCTCCCTCCTCCCTTTCGTGCTGCTCCCCTACGTTTCTTCCATATACGCAGCACAGAAGCAGCAGCAGCAGGAGCAGCAGCAGGTGCAGCAGGAGCAACAGGTGCAGCAGGAGGAGGAGGAGGAGGTGCAGCAGCAGCAGCAGCAGCAGCAGCAGGAAGAATGTCCTACTGCAACAAAGGAGAGGCATACTTTATTCGTCAACTTGTGCTGCTGCTGCATAAATCCTTCCAGCAGCAGCAGCAGCTGCAGCAGCAGCTGCAGCAGCAACTACAGCAGCACAAGAGCATTAACAGGGATAAAAATGAACAGCAACAGCAGCAAGAGGAGAAACAGCAGCAACAGCAGCAAGAGGAGAAACTATCCTTAGCAGATGTAGGTATTATATCCCCTTATAGGGGACAAGTAGATCTATTATTGTCTCTTATTAAGGAGACAAAAGTGTCTCCTTTGCCAGAGATAGATACAGTAGATGCATACCAAGGAAGAGAGAAAGAAATTATTATTGTCTCCTTTGTTAGATCAGGCACACTGCAGCAGCAGCAGCAGCAGCAGCAGCAGCAAGATGCTCCTGCTGCTGCTGCTGGGTGTGGGGCATGGGGTGTAGGGGAAGCAGATGCAGCGCAGCAGCAGCAACCATTAGATATATTTAGCTTACCTAAACCATCAATAGACACACCAGCAGCAGCAGCAGCAGGAGCAGCAGGAGCAGCAGGAGCAGCAGCAACAGCAGCAACAGCAGCAACAGCAGCAAAAGGGACATCAACATCATCAGTATCATCAGGAGGATCAGCCCAATCCTCCTCATCAGCAGCAGGAGCAGCAAGAGCAGCACCAGCAGCAGCAGCAGGAGGAGGAGGAGGAAGGAACCGTAGTCTAGGGTTTGTTGCAGACGAGAGAAGATTGAATGTGTCTCTTACTCGAGCAAGAAGGGCCTTATGGTTAATAGGAGACAGTTTGCTGCTGCAGCGCAGCAGCTTGCTGCAGCGGCTGCTGTCCTTTATTAAATCTGTACCTGGTGCTGCTGTTGATGTATTACAATATGTTGAGCAGCAGCAACAGCAGCAACAGCAGCAACAGCAGCAACAAGGGCAGCAGCAGCAACAGCAGCAGCAGCAGCAGCAGCAGCAGCAGCAGCAGCAGCAGCAGTGGTCTACAAGAGCAGCAACAAAAGAAGATATTAATGCTTTTTTTGCTGCTATGCATAAACAAACATATATAGCAAATATACAGCTATATAAGCAGCAACTGCAGCAGCAAATTAAGCAGCAGCAGGAGAAGGAGCAGGAGCAGCAGCAACAGCAAGATAGTGAATCATCAAGTCCTTCTGCTGCTCCTGCTGCTGCTCCTGCTGCTGCAACAGCAGCAAGAAAGAGAAGAAGCAGCAGCAATACGCCACGTGGGCATGAACAAGGAATGTCTCCAACAAGGAAACGAAGCAGCACCAGCAGCAGCAACAGCAGCAACAGCAGTAGCAGCAGCAGCAGCAGTACTAGCAGCAGCACCAGGAAAAGAAGCAGCAAAGACATGAACAGCACCAGCACCACCAGCACCACCAGCAGCAGCAGCAGCAGCAGCAGCAGCAGCAGCAGCATGCGACAGGCCCAGCCTAATATAGAAATACCTCATGGTGTCTCTGAGCTGTCTGCAGCACGGAGAGCAAGGCAGCAGCAGCAGCAGCAGCAAGAGCACCACAGGCTGCAACGGGACCAGGAGCAGCAGCAGCAGCAGCGGCAGCAGCAGCAGCGAAGGGAAGAAGCAGCACACAGTGAAAGCAACAGCACGGTGAGCTATAGGAGCAGCAACAACAGGACCAGCAGCAACAGCAGCAGCAGCAACACAAACAGCAGCAACACAAACAGCAGCTCCAGCAGCAGCAAGAGCAGCCGTAGCAGCAGCAACAACAGCAGCAGTAGCAGCAGCAGCAGCAGCAGCAGCAGCAAGCTGCCTGATTCGGGAATGGTCAGACGCACAGGAGGATGGTCCTCTCTACGTAAGGCGTCTTAATCCTGTTGCTGCAGCAGCAGCAGCAGCAGCAGCAGCAGCAGGATGCAGCAGCAGGAGCAGCAGCAGGATGCAGCAGCAGCAGCAGCAGGAGCAGCAGCACGATGCAGAAGCAGCAGCAAACACAACCGTTATCACGTGCAGTACTACTGCAGCCGCAGCGTGGAGCAGCAGCAAAGGCTCCCCCTGCAGCAGCAGCAGCAGCAACAGCAACAGCAGCAGCAACGCATGCAGAGCCACAGAGGCTTAGGGAAGGCAATCTACGTAAATGCTGCAACGAGCAGCAACTTTGTTGTAGCAGCAGGAGCTTGCTGCAGCAGCAGCAGCAGCAGCAACAGTTTGCTGCAGCAGCAGCAGCAGCAGCAGGCTGGGAGTGTATGTACTAAATAATTATATTTTTATGA